TAAAGGGATGCTGACACTTCACCTTTCCTCATTACAACACAGGAACTCCACCAGCTGATTAAAATGAACCTAGGCACTCCCATTCAGGGATTAGTTTGGAAAGGACATGGTGAAACAAACCGATATTTCTTCAGAACATAAACAGTAAGAAACTGCAACAAAGTTGGTTAAAATCCTTCCAATATACACCCAGAGAGGATTGGTTTTTTTTTCTCACCAAAAGTGGAGCTACACTTTAAGGGCCAGGAGCTGAGAATGCCAGCTTTACAGTTTCTCCAAACTTTGTAGCAAGAGTTTAAAGTAATTTGGGAAAAAGAAACCTGTTGCTACTTTAGACCGAGGAGCTGACAATTTGTTTTTAAACCCATTGTACTAAAAATTGGATTTTCTTTTTATGAGGAAAAACACATTATTGTTTTAGTCCCAGGTTCCAACTATATTTACAGAACATAATAAAGCTGGATTTTTCGGTGTAAAAATATATATTGTTTTTCACAAAATATATTTGAGTTTGTGAATCCCAAGAGCAGATTCTGATGACGCAGACCATGATATACATTAAAGAAGAACTCCAGGCAAATAAAATCTTAACCCTTGCAGTGGGGCTAGCCCCACACTGCAGGGAACTAGTGTTCATTTTGCCTATACTCACTCGAACAGTAATCCCGGCTGGCTCCTAGACTGGTAGCACTGTGAAGTCCACCTGAGACACTGTTAAATAAGTATTGCCTATTTTTATAGTGCTACACTGTTACTGTGAGTGATGTGCTTGTGGATGGTCCAGCTTATTAAATTGTTCTGCGTGTAGGACATAGAAAAAAAAAAAAGTTACTTTCTGCATCCTTTGACTCCTTTTGTCCTCGCGGGATTATGCGAGTAGATTTTATGATTATTTTAAATAAAGCTTTTTTTATACGAAATTACACTGTATGCCATTCTTTCTTTTTGATTGAATTACCACCTGTATCCATGATGAACCGTGACACACCACAGCTCTATGATAGAGGCAAACCATGGCCCTTGGAAGGAAGGGGAAGCAAGTTAGACCATACTAAAATATTTTAGTTATGGTCAGGTTTACGAGGCGAGCAGGAGTGTGTACAGTATATGTGTGGTCATGGATCCTGCACCTGAATATATTGTAAAAAAACATTGGTGATTATTTCTTTTGAAGTTGTTCATACAAGAGTGGTTGTATCTTCACAAAAGATCACCGTTACACAAAGCAAAGAACTTTGAGGATACACTTGTTATTATTTGTCACTGTGTACACAGTTATGAAGTCCACCTGAGACACTGTTAAATAAGTATTGTCTATTAACATTGCATCTGTTATTGCTTTTGTACAGTGCTATTTTTATAGTGCTACACTGTTGCAATTTATCTTGTTAGGGTATTTGGCCATTTCTCTTTAAGAGCTGGTCATTTGAGATCTGTTGTATCATTATTTTAGATGCTGGTATGTAGTGTTATTTTTCACATTCCATCACTTTTTGTTGGGTTTATTTGTATAGTGCAACAATGTTTTTTAATTACTATTTATAGTATTACTTTCAGCACATGTCATGGAGTAGAGTACATGTAGAGTAATGCAAATATGCTACTTTGTATTCATTATTTCAAATTCCACATGTTATTCCAAAAGTGGTTTTATGCAATATTTATTATGTGCTATAGACACATGACCAGGATCATACCAGTTAAATGGTGCACCGTGTTTTTCTTTTTTCATCTGGATACTGTGACATATTTGGACTGGAACCATGGTAGGTAGATTTATTTTTGACAGTTTTTGTGTATTAAATGAGTTGGGAGTGTTAAATGTGAGGGACTTTCTTACACAGTTTTATGGTGGTTTTGGAATTTTATATATTTGTAGTTTACCATATATATATGTTAGTCAGTAACACCAGACAACATATTTCCAAACTCAGTGTACTATTATTTGCACTTTTATTGTGAAGAATTGTAGAATGTGCTCTGATTTGGGGGTGCCTTAAATTACTGATGAACAACTGAATCTTAAATAAGTGTTGGGTTTATTTACAAATAGGGATATACATACATTCTAATACAATTAAGGGGGTTGAAAGGGGAATTGGGGATAGGTATTGAGGTTAAGGATCCTACAGCTAGCTACACCATTCTCTCTCTCTCTCATTCACACAAGCCATGGGTTTTTCTCTGTTCTCCGGACACGCCTCTCTAGCAGGTCTCAGCGAATCACATTCTTGATTGTAGAGTTCAGAAAGACTTGTCTTGTCCAAAGGTCTTGCTTGTCAGCTAGGTTAGTGTCACACAGGAAGAAGGTTCCATCATATGCCCCTGCCCCCATCCCAGCATATATGCCTTGCTGACACAGGTGAGGGCAGTAAATACCAGCAGGGGGTCGGGCTTGCCCCAGGACATGACAGTCCAGCAGATCTCCTTTGATCAGTGTCCAGCCCCAAGAACCCTTTGATGGTCTTCATTCGCAGTCATCAAACAGTCACGGGCAGCTCACGATATTAAGGAACCTTTTCCATCAAAGATGTATCATAGATGTCAATTATTTTAGCTTCCAACAAGAATAGAGGCCTCTTTAACAGCCTAAACACACCTTTATGATCAAGTAACATGTGCATTAGCATAACCTGCATTGTGGCAACATTCATTTTGAATGGCACCCTAATGCACCAAGGCACATATTGTGCCACACATGTTGCATATCGCCGCGAACGTCAGAATGAGAGCAATAATTCTAGGGCCATTAATTACGGATTAGATTAAACTGATGAGCAGTAAAAGCTTTTAAAGCGTCGCCTATGGCCAATTTTGGGTGTGGCCGTTTTCTATTTCACAGGCGCACGCAATTTTAAAGCTCGACCTTTTTGGTGTCTATTTACCCGGCCCAAGCTTGATTCAAATAGAAGATTCACCTTTTGTTCTTTCTGGCCAGTTACGAGAGATCTAAAGGAAACACATCTTTTTTATCACTTTGGTTATACACATTGTATATACTATGTTGCTATTTTGTGATTCATGTGGTGTTTGCAACATTGTTTTCACCTATGTTTTTAATGTTTTTGCAACATTGCTTCACCGATACATTTTGCATAGCACTTTGTTGTTAGGACAGCAGTAGGTTCTGACACAGTGTTTTTTGGAGATTGGTTTCACATATTTTGGATTATCACTCAATTTAATATAATCTATGATATATTTTTTCCTTGGTTGTTATTCACTGGCACTTAAATTCACACTTTATTCACATTAATGTGTTTGATACATACAATTTTATTCCCTTTGTGAATGCATTTTCACTCATGACTGATATTATACCCATTATAGTTATTTGGATTTATGACCGAGAGGCTGCTAGCGCTGTACTTTACATCTCTTTAACCCTTAGGGCAAATTGCCTTAGTTCAGCAGCTCTTAGCTTCTTTTGGTCTCATATTTTAAATAATTGATTTTTTGTGGTAATTTGTTTTTTGTTTTATTGCCAATTGATTAATTGGCGTTTTTCCATTAGCGCAGATTTCTGTCTACTATACAAGTCCAAAAAGTAGTTGTTGAAATGTACTAAGCTCAGGACTATTGTAAAACCCATATACAGTATAGAGAATATGGAACCTCATTATACTGATATGTAGTGGAAATAGAACTTCCTTCTGCACGTATGTATGACTTTGTAAGGTATGGTCAGATTGACATCTTATAGGTTAGAGTAGAACATAGATATACAGTAAGGACGGGGGACAGTCCTTCTGGAGAACACAACACATTACACTTCACACACATAGATACACCCACACACAGGACACAAAAACACTTGTCAATAAATATTTTAAGACACAAGACTAATCACACTTTTTGTCTTAGGCCCCATTCACACGTAGCGATATATCACGCCATTTCACGCATTTTTGCCGCGTGATGTCGCGAGAAGTCACCGGCTAATGATATTCAATGGAGCTGTCTTAGCTCCATGTCGCTCGTCGCAGTCGCATGTCGCTTCTACAGGACCCTTTTTTCGGCGCGATTTTGCTTTTTTCTAATGGAGCCCGACAGAGAAGGTCGCGCTACAGTCGCTAGATCGTCGCTGGAACGTCTGGAGCCGAAAGTCGCACTATCCCGGCCGCCGCAAAAGGTATGTCGCTACGTGTGAATGGGGCCTTAAGCTTTCACAAGACTCACACGCTTGTAGACAAACAATATGTTTCTGTTATTTGTACCCACATTTTGAACTGTTACCTTTGTACATTATTTTTGTTGATATTTTGTACCTTTTAAGTTTGCCTGACAACTTTATGCTGTCAAATAAAGTCACACATGTTTTTATTCAACTGGACACTCCACTGAATTTTACATAATCACCTTAAGACCCATATATAAATAAAGGTTGTTAGGAAAAGATATGTAACAATTTCAATATTAAAAAAAAAGCTCCGATAGGTTAAGTTTGTGTTTATTTTTAGAAACACTATTTCATTTGTCAACATTTCAGTCTTTTGGTACAATTCAAACAAACTGCATATAGGAAGCACTATGGTAAAAAAAACACCATAACGGCCATGAGAAGACCATTCTCTGAATGTAAAGCAACGTTCACTTTGTCATAAAAGGTAAGCCTACAGTGGCATAACCCTAAATGGGACAATAGTTACTATGAATGGAAGAAGGTAGATCTATACTGCATATTTTGCCAATACACTTTACAAACATATTACAGCTAGGGCAAAACTAGCCCTACTAAGAACACACAGTTTGGCAATACTGCATTCTAGCATAACAAGTCAAATATGGCCTGGCAGTCAGCAAATACATTTTTAATCACATTTTATATCACAAGGCAAAAATAGATAACAATGAATGTATTGCTTACATATGTGCACCTACTGACGATGCCCAGTGATTTACTAAAAAAAATGTAACACATTTTCTGTTCATTTGTTTCCTTCTTGTGGCGCTCAGAACAATTGCAAAACACAGGGGAGTTGGTATTCCATGTTTGTAAATCATGTATTCCACTTGAATACAACATGCACAACCAGCAGATAACACATTCCGATCATAGTGGAGATGATCATCATGGGGAATCCCAACCTGTAAATTACAAGTACACAATACACAGTATGTAAATGCTTATAGCAAAATAAAAATCACACATTCACATTAGCTTTTTGTTTTCTTACTTTACTGCCATTGATGGTTTACCACTTGCCTTTCTTTTATGACCCTTCGGAACTTTGAGTTACTAACCTAGAACAAATATTCAGACCAGAAGCTCTGACTTCACTCTGATTTTCTAATCTGCATGTTTGTTTTAAGTCAGTGATTTAAACCAGCCATACAAGCATAAAGTTCTATCCACAGTAAACAATATGGATGGAGGATTCTCCCCCAGCCAGCAATTGTATTCAGACACACACAGCTGTCTGAATACCTGAACAGTAAATGCATCTAATTGAATGCTGTCACTGTTCAGCCAGTCATCTTCCACCAACCTCCTTTAATTTTTCAATTGAAGTTTGTTGATCTGGGTGGCGATTAAAGGGCCACAACCCAGCTCAACAAACAGCTCCAATCTTAGCTGATCAGGCAGGAATAATATAAAATTAAAAAAATGGCTACATTGACATATTTGTCCCTCTATTGGCAGCAAGTAAAAGAGTTAAAAACTAGTTTACAACAGAAATGTAGCACACCCTAAGGTCTCCTCAGCAGCACATACATTTTGCTCCACCACTGCTCTGTTTGACTACAGGGAGCAGAAGTAGGCTCTGGGTTGCTTGAGCTGAAATGTACATGGGGCTATGGACTCTCCTCATGTGTCATCACTGATTTGTCCAGCACTGTAACATGGAATGCTTCACCATACCCTGAACAGGTATTTTCAATACTCCTGGCTGCTGAAAGGAGCACCAGGTGAGTGCACACAAAGTATGTCCTGCTGGAGGAGAAGGGACTAAAGCAAACCTGTTGCTTTGCCCTGCACATTTGCTTTAAGGGACAGAGATGTGTTTTCAATGTGTGAGCTGCTTGAACATCCCCTATTTGATCTGTTAAAATCAAATTACTTTTGCTACAATCAAAGCTTCTGGCAGTGTCATACTAGCCAGCCTTGTTTAATGTAATCATAGATAATGTACCCATGCCTGATGGATAAGTTTTGTAGTACTTTTTGGCACATGATCCTGGTATCCAACATTTTGCACTGGACAATTATTTCTCTGACTTACCAAATAAAGCAAGTTGCCTTTATTATTTTTTGGCAGGGACAAATTTGATAAAAGGTATGGTCAGTTATTTAACAAAAGGATTAGTGTGAGATGTTTTTCCTAAAATAATGAATGGTTAGTTATTGCTCTGTTATTCTAGTTTTGCTAACACAAAAATTATTTTGATATTTGTGCAAGCAGGTCTTTACAAAAAAAATAAACATTTGCTATTTTTTGAAAACTAAATTATTTTCAGTTTTTGCTTACTCTGCAGATGTTACTTCTGATAGAGCAGGGTTATCACTCCCACAATGTAAGAGGAGGAAGTAATGAATGAAAACCAGAGGAGACCACAGCACGGTGCTAGATTCTGTATTAAGCCAGAATAAGAGGGCTGACAAACTCCACTCTCTTTCTTGTTCACATAACAGGCACCAGCTTCACTTCCTTTCTCCTTTATTCTCTACCTGAACAGAACAATGGTATCCTCCATTATTGTCACAGACAAAAGCATCCAGGCTTCAAGAAATTTGTCCACTGTATACAGGTTAATAGCATCTATTCTAGACAAGTGCAATGCCGAATATTTGTATCACTGAACCAGCCTCTCTTTGTAGGGACAGCTTATCTTGGTAGAGTGAAGACATTTCCCCTGTGTCTTAGATTTACTCTGCATTAATGGATTTCTATGAGCTAATTCTCAGTAGAAAATTGTGATTTACATGATAATGAACAAAACAGATACAAAGCAAATATTTCAAGTAATAGGTTTCCTTTGAAGGTCTTTTAGAGTACTGCAAAAAACAATGATGTGCAATTACCAATAAACACCAGATTTCAGCATTTAATTTAGTTAAAAATGTAAAATGATTTTGGGCTATCCATTAAAGTAAAAAAAAAAAAAAAAAACAACCACAGAGCAATGGTCTAAGGATTATAAAATGATCCCCACCCCCACACATGTGCCCCTCTGCGGCATTCCTTGTGCTATGATGCTGGCAACTATAGTTTTAGAAGTTTAAGACCACTTTAACACATTAAATTCTTAAATTATTGTCTATCTAAAGCCTACATTTTTTAAATTTTAGTTTGGGATAGAGTATGGAGTAATTTGAACTAGAATCTTGTCGAGTTTATTATTTTGGTCTGTTTTCTACTAGGCAGATTTCCCTTATTTAGGTGGCTATTCTGTAGGCTGGACCTCCATCTTCCAGGTTGAGTACTACTGTGCAAGGGATTTGAGGAGGATTATTTCAAGGGATAGCAGCACCATAGCCAGTGGTATCTAAAAATACAGGTTGTGCTAAATCAGATGGTGATTTTTAGATCAGTTAAACTTTTACAAAAGCAAATATATACATTTTGTATGGAAAATGAAAGATATAGACAAGCTTTGTTTGCAAATAAATGCACTCACCTGTTAAGTAACATACAGCATAAAACTGTGTACATGTGGCCAGGCTATCATTTTCGTCCTTAAAAACCCACTGAGCTGTTGACCTGATATGTATGCTGATTTTGGGTCAGTGGTTTAGAAAGTATTGAAGCCTTTAAATCCATGTGACAGCCAGTAAACAAGCACTTTCAGAAAAGGTCAGTAACAGTAGCCTTTTTATTTTAAACAGGTTGCCTAAAAATACTAAAAGGCAATGTCCGTGTCTTCACCCCCCTGAAACAAGGCCATAAAGTCAATCTTAATACCTGGGTTTACAAACTATTTGTTAATTCTTCATTATGGAAAATGCTGGACAGTTTCCTGTGATCAGATGCTAACAGGAATATCATCTGCATGGAGCGTGTGTTCTCCCCATGATTGAGTACATTTATCTGCGTGGTAAGTTGCTCTTTAAGGGCCAGTTAATGTGGGCTTAATGCATGCTATCTTATAGTGTTCCCCAGTGCACCTCCTGGTGGCTGCTCAGTTCTGCACAGCGCAGTGCATGGTACTGCAAAACCATGCATTGCACTGTACCGGAAAAAAGTAGAGAATTCACCTCACCAAAACGCATGGTATTGGGGTATTGCATGTTGCACTGCAATGCATAGCTGCCGGGAGGTGTGTTGAGGTGCTATTTATATGATTAGCAACACCACTCCTAGAGCATGGAGCTGCATGCTAGGTGTGCTGTGTGACAGCATACAGTATTGTGAGTTTAGTGCACCACTTACGTGTAAACCAGCCCTTACTTGAACTGGCCTCGGGGCATGTATGAGTGAAGCTGAAACATAAGTTTGTAAACCCCACCAGGGTATAAAGACTGATGTGCATGTTGGTACAAGTGCTGTGCAATATGTTGTCTCTAGACAAATAATACATTCATCAAGGGAGAATGACATATTAATTTAAACTTAATAATGGCTGTGGTCACTGGGTGGAACGTGGAGCTTTGGTTCAAAAATATTGCCACAGATTTTCTTAATAGATATTATTGGCCAGCTTTTCATTTAACTAAAACAGAAACCATTGAAATTAAAAACATTATTATCGAGGGGAGTTGGCCTTTAAGTTAAAAGGAATCACATGAGTTAAAGCCTGAAATGTGAAATCATAAATTAAAGCACAGCCGCATTGCTACAAATATGTTAATAGGCAGTCCTGTAGGAAACATATCACAGTATTTATTGGAAAGTATGCCAAAACAGAAAGGCTTCCTCCAGTTTAGTGAAGTACCTTAATTGGATGACCATGTTATTCACAGTATTTTCCCCAAAGAAAACAAGCTTCTTTAATTTATCAGCTTGACAAGGTTCTCTTTCCCATCTACAACATAGATTTCATTCTTTAACAAAGTCTCTTGAGAGAACCTAAAACAATGTTGTACAAGGCCCTGTGCTGGGAAAACATGTTTGCAACCACAAGGGGTATTCTTCATCTACAGTACATTAAAAAGGAAGAAGTTAAAGAGTAAATGAGCTAGACCGCCTAAACCTAAAATTTCACTTTATCACTCGGTTACATTAAGTCTTTTATTAGTTACACCTTTAGCGCTTTGATATATATTTTCTCTAAAGAGTAAAATATGTTGAGGAGAGTAACTAGTTACAATACATTTCCAGAACGGTTTCTAGTCTTTTCGTTTAATGGCTTTGACTTTGTAGTCTATTACGGAATTGGAACAAGAATGTGTCTCCAATGTGAAGAGACAGTATACATGAAACCAGAGGAGACTAAAGTAATCAAAATGCCCGCTAACTAAATCAGTATGCAGCGTAGTAAAGCCTTCTTTAAACAGAAGGTATTCCATTATATAGCCCAAAAATAAGAGAATTATTCCTATTTCAGGACAGTGAGCAGAGCCATGAAAATCATTCCTTCACACTCCAAACAGCCAAATGCACATCCAGAACCACTGGTGTATAGTAAAAATATAATCTATATAGATATTACAGAGCCATCTTTAAAAAACTGTACAACAGTTGCAGGCTTTTTGGTTTCATCAGTGCAGTTTATGGAAACCATGTTTTCTATGGAGTAAGGCTTTAGACCCAACAAAACACAATAACCATACAGGTTATGGTGAGAAGGGCCTAAAGAAATAAAAAAAAGCCCTCAGCCCGAATCTGTGCATAGCACAGTAAAGCCTTCTTAAAACAGAAATATGTTATAGTGCCTCCTATGGTGCTGGTCATCAGGAGAAAAAGATGGCTGGCGTCTCTCGTCAAGAGGAAGAAAAAATGGATGGATCGGTGGTCAGAGGTAGAGAAAAAAAAATGTCCAGCATTGATTAAGAGGAGAAATAATAGAAAGAGGAAAAAAAAAATGGAGGCACATGGCCAGGATGCCCAGTGCTAGTTACGACCCTGATATAAGACAGGAAAATTCTTCCATGTACTGTATTAGATATTTTCTGCCTTTTTTTACCACGCTCTTGCTATACAAAGTTA